CACGTCTACTTGTCAATCTCAGTGATTATCAAAGCACACCAGAACACTGCATTATTCCCTTTATGATTTGCTTTTCAGTTGTGAAAAAATTCTGTTGTGTCAAGAGTACTAGACAACTGTTTGTGACCTATTTATTTATCATGTAATATATTGAGATGAGGGTAAATAAATCCTTCAGGCAAAGTAGAATTTTTCAAAAATCAAGAACTAACACATCTCAATTCTTAAATCTGATAGATTGATATGCTGCTGAAAGAGTATTTACTCTCTGGAGACATGTCTGAAGCTGAACATTGCCTTAAGGAACTGGAAGTACCTCATTTTCACCATGAGCTTGTATATGAAGTAAGATTACTTTGACATTCCAAGGAGAATTATTGTGTTCCTTTTTGTACCACAGAAACTTAATGCTTCTTTAATAATGCACAAAAAAAACTACAATTTATGGGAGAGTTTTATAATTTTTAATGATTATGGTTACATATTAGAGAAGAGAGATCTAACAGATTTTAGGAGCAGTTTCTTATAGAAAATGAGCAATAATTCAATCATTCATTCAATTTTTAGGCCATTGTAATGGTTTTAGAGTCAACTGGAGAAAGTACATTTAAGATGATTTTGGATTTATTAAAATCTCTTTGGAAATCTTCCACCATTACTCTAGACCAAATGAAAAGAGTAAGTATAACATTTTGAACCATGTTTAGGCTGGTATCTTAAATTTTGTATGCTTGAATACAGACTATGAAGTGTCAATGAAACTTTCTGGTTTATTTAGTAATGTTATGCCTTTTTCCATATTTTTTAACAGTACTGTTTATGTTTGAACCTCTTACAGCCATTTCCTGGAAAGTAGTAAATATGTCAGCCTTTTTTTAATCTAAATTTTAAAAAATATGTGTGTGTGTATGTTCTTCCTCAAGAGTTCTAAGATATGGTCATTTGTTTATATCTAGAGAGACAAACTTTTAACAGAAGTACTTGGTTTATTCCTATTTTATTGTATGCATTGTTATTAAAATGTTGGTGAGGTTCTTATTTGCCTTTTATTTTTTTTTTAATGTAGTAAATGTATTATAGTAGATAGAGAAATATATCCAATGTCCATTTTCTGCCGAAAGCTCTTTTGAGAGAACAGTTGTAAATATTCTGTAACAAATGTACTTAACTCTTTGTACTTTTCTATTTTTTTTTTGTACTTTTCAAGGTTCAGATCTGACTTCAGTCTAATTAATATGAACACTTGGACTTAAATATAGCTTGATAACAGTGATGGGTTATATGCATTATGTATTTTATATGAGCTAACAATTCTGTGTATAATTTCATTGTTCCAGGGTTATGAGAGAATTTACAATGAAATTCCGGACATTAATCTGGATGTCCCACATTCATACTCTGTGCTTGAGCGATTTGTAGAAGATTGTTTTCAGGCTGGAATAATTTCCAAACAACTCCGAGATCTTTGTCCTTCAAGGTACTTTATTACTTTCTCAACATCAAATACTGATTGAGGTGCTTAAGAAGGTTAAGCTAATTTTCTGTCATTCTGTCTGTCTGAAAAATAATACTATCTTCCCTCTAGTCACCCATGAGTGGAAAATCATCTGAATCTATGGAGAAGCAAGTGTGAAGCTTATTTTGTTCTCTTGTAAATTTGTACAGGACTATCTCATGAAGCCCCATTTACTGGAAAGAAGCTAATTTTGTGGAACAAAATGTGTGTCTTAGACTCTGAGTAGTTTAAATATTATTTCAGGGTAGATATTACCAGTAAGATGAAAAAATTGAGGCTTATGACAGTGTAATGTACCTTTTCTAAGGTTATACATAGTAGAAGCCAAGGATGGATCCAGACTTTTTCTGCCTTTAAAAGTCTATGCTCATTCCTATTCTGTATGTAGGTTCCTTTTGATCCTTCACAGAATGGAGAATTGGGGCTGATTGCATTTTGTTTCTCTAGAAAGTGTGTGTGTGTGTGTGTGATTCTTTGGAGGTATATGTGCTACTAGGATCACACTCTTTAGGAGTTGATAGATTTTTTGTTATTGTTAAAGCTTAAATTTATATTGTAATAGACATAAGTTTAGTAACAGCTAAACTTCTTGGATGGACTTCCCAAGTGGTTCAGTGGTAAAGAATCTGCCTGCAATGCAGGAGATGCAGGTTCAGTCCTTGGTCGGGAACATCCCCTGGAGAAGGGAATGGCTACCCACTCCAGTATTCTTGCCTGGGATATCCCATGGACAGAGGAATTTGGGAAGGTACAGTCCATGGTGTTGCAAGAGTCAGACATAAAGCGACTGAAACAAAGAAAAAACTTTTTGTGTGGGTCTCCTTTATGTATATTTTAAATTTGTGTAATTTTTTTCTGAAGAAATTTCAAACTTTGCATACTTTTATGTAAGTGCCTTGTGAGAAATCTCAAAAAAATACTTGAGTGTCCTTTGCTTACAAAGTTCAGAAACAATTAAGAGAGAAGGAAAAGATAATGGTGGAGATACATTTTAATGGCTTTGATAAAAATGTCTGAAAATGTATATTTCTACTTGGTGATGACAGTATTTATGTATTGTGTGCCAAGTGGTGTACCTCAGTATAAACTGTCAACTTTGGCAAAGCTTTTTGCTACTTGCTACTTCATTTTCACCCTTGATCTCCTAATATTATAGTATGAAGCCTTTATGTTCAGGAAAATATAGCTGTAATACATACCCCTTTCATAAATACCCCTTAATATGAAAAGGAGTCAACACTTTGGCACTGTCCTTTGGCGGCTCAGATGGTAAAGTGTCTGCCTGCAATGCAGGAGACCCAGGTTCGATCTCTGGGTTGGGAAGATCCCCTGGAGAGGGAAATGGCAACCGACTCCAGTACTGTTGCCTGGAAAATCCCATGGACAGAGGAGCGTGGTAGGCTACAGTCCATGGGGTCACAAAGAGTTGGACACAACTGAGCGACTTCACTGTCACTTTTTTTAAAGTTTTTCAGCCTCTATTCAAAAGTCTTAACTAATGATTTCTATTATGGCTTTACTTTCAAGGATCATTTGGAGAGATGTCTAAACTTTCTGTGAATTCCATACAACTTTAACTTTTTATCCTCTGATTTTTTGCTTATTTGGGCAAAGTGCACATTTGTGTGTGACCTTGAATGCCCGTGCATATTGGTCTAGGGTCTGAGAAGAAATAAGAACCAATTCTGCCCAAGCTATGTTGAGCACTTACTGCTTTCAGCTTCTGTGACTGTTCCTTTTGAGCGCTTGTTACTACATTTAGCTAATTGTGTGATTACATATTATAGAGGAAGGCATCTTGAGTTTGAAATGGCAGAAAGTTCCAAAATGGGGTATATATAGGAATTAAATGGACTCTGTTTTTCCACATTCAGGTTATGGCTTTTCTGTATCTGAGGAAAAATTAAAAACCGTTTAAAAACAAGATATTTTGATAGGTTCTGTAGCTGTAGTTTTCATAGTTCTCAATCATGTTGGTGTTCCATTTGGTTCAATGTTTAGCTTTCAAATAATATTAATAACATAGTAGAAATAAATACAGGCATGTCTCATTTTATTGTGCTTTGCAGATACTGTTTTTTTTTTTTTTTTTAAAACAAAAGTTTGTGACAACTCTGCATTGACAAGTCTGTTAGTGCCATTTTCCTAAACAGCATTTGCTCACTTTATGTCTGTGTGTCACAGGTTGGTAGTTCTCAGAGTATTTTAACCCTCAACTTGCAAAAAGATTAGACTTGTTAAAAGTTTGGATGATGGTTAGCGTTTTTCCTCAATAAAGTATTTTTAAATTATTGTATGTACATTGGGTTTTTAGACATAAGTGTAGGCCACAGTATTATATAAACATTATATGCAGTGAGAAACCAAAAAATTCATGTGATTCGCTTTATTGTGACCATCTGGAACCAAACCCACAATAATTTTGATGTGTGTTTTTATTAAATTTCCAAACAGCAAAATGTTTGCCATATTTGTATTTTTTTTTCTTACATGACTTCATTTGGCCAATGAACTTATTTCAATAATTGAGCTTTTGTTTGACTAAAAAATGCTCAGATTAAGTAATTCATTTGGTATGTTCTAGGATATGTAACCGGTAAGGTCTTTTCAAAAGACTTGGGCATGCTGACATTTTAAAATTTAAATGACAAACTCTTCAAAAGTTAATGACAAAGATGCAGTTTTTAATTATTTTAATTGACTATAGTCAAAATTTGTATCTGTTTACATGTTTTTTTTCTTTTCATTACAGGGGTAGAAAACGTTTTGTAAGTGAAGGAGATGGAGGTCGTCTTAAACCAGAGAGCTACTGAATATGTGAACTCTTGCAGTCTTAGATGTTATAAAAAATATATATATCTGAATTGTAAGAGTCGTTAGCACAGTTTTTTTTTTTTTTTTTTTAAGCACTTGTTTTGGGTACAAGGCATGTCTGAAATTTTGTAAACTTACATTTAAGGGAAATTTTTAAAGGACTTTTTTTTTTTCTTTTTCTTTTCTTTCTCTTTTTTTTTTAAATTTGAGGGTGTAAAGGAGGGACAGAAAAGTAACCACTTCTTAAGTGGGATATTCTCATAAGCTACCTTTTGTAAGTGCCATGTTTATGACCTAATCATTCCAAGTTTTGCATTGATGTCTGACTGCCACTCCTTTCTTTCAAGGACAGTGTTTTTGTAGTAAAATCACTGGTTTATACAAAGCTTTATTTAGGGGGTCAAGTTAAGCTGCTAAAACCCCATGTTGGCTGCTGCTGTTGAAATACTGTGCTTTGGGAATTAAAAAAAAAAAAGAAAAGTTATTTCTTTGTTTTAAAGAATTTTTAAAAAATGAGCTAGTTGTGAGACTTATTCATCTTTCCAGGGAACATATTGCTTGGTCTTAAAGACTAGACAGTTAAGTAAATGGTGGCTGGAACATCTTATTTTTCTACAAAACTGGAAAAATGAACCCAGTTCTAGAAGAATGTATGACAAAATAAAACATGTGAAGCAGTGTTGATTCTTTATTTGGAGTGCATTTATTTTAGATCTTTTAAAAAACTTATTTCCCACAGCAAATTTTAAATCATATAAAAGCATATTTGAACCTAGTTAATTTAAACTTTGCTCTTGGCAAACTTTTAAAACGAGTACAGTAGTAAATAATTTTAATATTATACTTGGGAAATACTTGCACACTTCCTTGTTTTTGATCTTATCTAGAACTTAATGAAATTTCTAAACATATATACCTTTCATCATTAAGTTCTATTACCAACTAATGCTTGTGTTATAAAATATTATTCTTCAAAGACTCAAAGTTTTACATTTAGTCAGTGTATGAGAAAATAGTAGTTACTGATAACAGTTATCTAAAGGAAGATCACATTTCTAACCTCTTTTGCAGAGCCTAATTACTCAGCAAGGCTTCAAGGTCCATACTAATTTAAATTGTCTATTACCAACTGCAGCAAACCAACCAAGAATTATATTCAGAATTTACAAAGGTATTCCTAGGAACATACCCATTACAGGTCTAGCTACAGTCTTTTAGAAATAAAACTTCCAAATTTACATTCATTTTATTTCATGGGCTCTTTCAAGTCCTTATTAATTTCCATTTTTAGGGTTTTGATTATGTTTTGATACCTGGAAGACAAAGGTGGCAAGGTAAGTCCTTAAAGTCAGTATAATTAAAAAGCTTAGTTCAGTTTTTAAAACCATGTACAGGATGACTATAAAAGTTGCATTTACTCACTGTGCCTAACTAAGAATGTCATCTAGAAAACTGATAGGAATGGTAACTAATTTGTAGTTTGAAAAACTTGGGTTAAAAATAAAACAAAATCTGGTCTCAGAGTTTTAAAATTGCTTATATGCAATACAAACCAGTGTTTAAATTCACAATCCAAGTTTTAGTAATTGAGTTTTTTTATAGGGATACTGTTTTATTAATACATACTGTTTTCAGCATATAGATGCAGATTATTTTCAGCTCTTGTTAATAGAAAGGTGTAGGGTGTTCTGTAGAAGTGCTAGTTATCATTCAGTGAGTTACTTGCCGTTGTTCAGTGAGTTATTTTCTGTTGTTCCTTTTCTGTCATTTCCTGTTGGCGAATTGTATCCTGTGCTGTTTGCTGTATTTTCTCCAGTTTTGGCACAGTCATAAGTCTTAATGGTAAAAGTATGGGTTTACATAGCACCATTGTGGGTATATCTTCTACATACAACTGCCCTAAGTATAAAAAGAAATAAAAATCAGAGTGAGATAAACACAGCTGTTTGGTAGTTTGGATTTGCAGTTAAAAAATTTAATACATTGTCATTTAATTGTTCTTATAGTTACCCTTGTAACACATCTTTAATATAAAAATATAAAAGCAAAATTTAATACTAGAAAGTTCATGAGAAAGGTTTTGAATTTTCTACCTAAAATTGTAAGTTGCCATGGGACATAACTTCTTGTGTCAGATGTTGAATTTCAAAAAAAAAGAAAGAATTGATGGAAATACAATATACATAAAAATACTTATAAGAGGACGACAAGATGGCAGGGTAGAAGCCCACCAGAGTCACAACTGAATGCTGAACCACCATCAATAAAAAAGATGCAAACCTACCAAAAAAGATACTCTGTTGATACATCCAAAGGCATGAAGAAACCCAAGGAGATGGTAGGAAGGGCACACTCACAATATAATCAAATCCCATACCCCCCAGGTGGGTGACCCACAAACTGGAGAACAATTATATTGCAGAAGTTCTCCCATAGAACTGAGTCCCACATCAGGCTCCCCAGCCTGGGGGTCTGGCATCAGGAGGAAGAGCCCCCCCAGAGCACTTGGCCTTGTAGTCCAGCGGGGAGTGTCACAGGACTGGGGGAAACAGCAGCTCCTCTTCCTGGAGGACACACACACGGACTTGTGTGCACTGGGACCCAGGGCAAAAGTGCAGTGACTTCACAGGATCCTGGGTCAGACCTGCTGGTCTTAAGAGGGTCTGCTGGGGAGGTGTGGGGTGACTGTGGCTCACTGTGAGGACAAGGACACTGGTAGTGGAGACACTAGAGAACAGTCATTGGCATGAGCTCTCCTTGAGGCTGCCATTTGGCACCAAGACCTGATGCCACCCAAGAGCCCGTAGGCTCCAGTGCTGGAACTCCTGAGGCCAAACAACAAAGCAGGAACACCCCCTCCCCGCCATCAGACTGCAAAAAGACCCTGAGCCCACAGCCACCTCTAGTCACACCCCTTGGTACGGCACGACCACTGCCCGTCAGAGAACCAAGCCTGAGCTCTACCCGACAGTGGGCAAGCACAGGCCCCTTCCACCCAGAAGCCTGTACAAGCCTCTGGACCAGGCTCAACCACCAGGGGGTAGAATCCAGAAGCAAGAACACTAGCATTCAGCAGCCTGGGAACTGAATTCACAAACAGATCAGAACCTTCCCTGGGACTAGTTGGTCCCTGGACTGCTAGGTGAGAGTGTAGGGCTGGGAGACATACAGCATCCCCTACAGAGGGTCACTTCTCCAAGGTCAAGGAACATACGTAACCTGTATACACAGAAATTAAGAGAAAATGAGACAGCAGAGGAATACATTTCCTAGAGTAATGGAAATAACAAAAATACATAAATGGGACCTAGTTAAACTCAAAAGCTTTTGCACAGCAAAGGAAACCATAAAAGGACAACCTACAGAATGGGAAAAATGTTTACAAATGATGTGACTAACAAGTGATTAATTTTCAAAATCTACAAATAGTTAATACAGCTCAAAAACCCAATCAAAAAATGGGCAGAAGATCTAAATAGACATTTCTCTAAAAAAAGACAGATGGCCAAAAGACACATGAAAAGAAGCTAATCCGAGAAATGCAAATCAAAACTACAACGGGGTATCACCTCCCACCAATCAGAATGGCCATCATCAAAAAATCTACAAATAAAAGCTGGAGAGGGTGTGGAGAAAAGAGAACCCTCCTACACTGTTGAAAGTGAAAATCGCTCAGTCGTGTCTATACAGTCCATGGAATTCTCCAGGCCAGGAGACTGGGAGTACGTAGCCTTTCCCTTTTCCAGGGGATCTTTCCAATCCAGGGATGGAACCCAGGTCTCCCACATTGCAGGTGGATTCTTTACCAGCTGAGCCACCACGGAAGCAACTATACAAGTGTATAGCAAGTTTTACATACAAGTTATACATACCTTCCCACCTACACCATTGGTGGGAATGCAAATTTGTGCAGCCACTACGAGGACGGCATGGAGGTTCCTTAAGGAACTAAAAATAGTTGCCACATGGTTCTGCAATCCCACTCCTAGGCATGTGTCTGAAGCAAACCGCAATTTGAAAAAAGGCAGGCACCCCAGTGTTCACTGCAGCAGTATTTACAATAGCTAACACATGGAGGCAACCTAAATGTCCACTTACAAATGGATAAAGAAGATTGTGTGTGTGTGTGTGGAAATATTAACATGAAGAAGACTGAAATAATGCCATTTGCAGCAACATGGATGGACCTAGAGACTTCCATACTAAGAAGAGTAAGTCAGATAAAGATATCGTTTATATGTGGCATCTATATATATATATATATATATACATATATGAATGAACTTTTAAATATAGAACAGAAACAGACCAAAAAGACATAGAAAACAAACTTCCAGTTAACAAAAGGGAAAGGTGGAGAAGGGATAACTTAGGAGTTTGGTATCAACATACACACACTACTATATATAGAACAGATAAACAAAAAGGACCTACAGGAACCTACTATAAACCACCCAGAACTATACTCAGTATTTTGTAATAACCTATAAGAGAAAAGAATCTGAAAAAAAAAAAGGCAATTAAGTATGTGTGTATAACTTGTATATAAAACTTGCTATACACTTGTATAGTTGTAAACCACTATATACTTCAATTAAAGAAATGGCAAATCAAGTACCTAGTAAGGTATGATATTAACATGAATATTCAAATTACTGAATGTTTACCTTAAACCTTCAGCTTTTGTTACATTGTTTGATACAGGTTTCTTTTCTCTCACTTTCGGACCTTAGTATTATATGGTAAATTATGGTGCTATTTTTGTCACTAAATTTCTTATTGTTATTGCCAATCTTGAGAATAATAGGATTTCTACATTTAAGAAACAAACCATCATCTTACATCCTTTTACTGGGGGCAAAAAAGCAATGGATTACTCCTTTACAAACTACTCATGACAAAAGCATTGCAAAAGTGGAGAGTATCTGTGGTATATATATAATACAAAATAGTTACAAGATGTCTAGCTATTGAGTCTGCTATATGACACTGTTATATGTATAATATTGGGAAACGGCAACCCACTCTAGTATTCTTGCTTGGAAAATCCCATGGACAGAGAAGCTTGGCAGGCTACAGTCCATGGGGTCGCAAGAGAGTCAGACACAACTGAACGACTGAAGCAGCAAACAATAATATTCTATGACCAAAGTATCTGTGATTTAGATACCTTGTTTTGGAAGAACTTCCCGGAACATCGACTTCATTTCTGCCATATCTGAAGTGTTGGATACAGTCTCGTCCTTCAATGAGAAAACAAATATTCAAGAATGAATTCCCAAAGCATATTACTTGAGATATTTCCACTGTAGTTTAAGAAGTAAAATCACAATGTGTATAGAAAATGAACCATTCTATCCTTGTATAATTTTTCTTTTAATTACCTGTAAGTCTTTCCATTGAAACAAGGTTGAGATAGTTCATGTAAGCATGCAGACCTTGTCAACTTTCGTTCATCAGTAGTGGTGGTAACTGGAAGGCTGCATGTTCTAAATTTTTCCCCTCTTAGTGAAAATTGGTAGGGCTTAAGTTTTTCAGGCAAAGGTAATTGATTATCTAGTAGGTATCTGTGCAGCCAAGGGAAAACAAAAGGACTTATGTGCAGCTGACAGCATCTCCTGAGGGGTAGGTTATGTTAAAAGACAAGACCATTTGGGAGGTGGCCTATGCAGGCTGTTAGGGAAAGGAGGTAGTACTATGCAAATGCTGCCTAACATTCACACTTCTTTCAATAGCTAACAAACAATTCCTGCTTTAATTCCTTTGCTCTAATGACAAAAAGCAACTTAAGGATCAGTTACTGGCTACACAGCTGCAATTTGTAAGGAAGCAACACAAGTGAAACTGGCTCCTGAATACCAGAAGTGAGCTGTGCTTTCAGTTTACTGTTTTCCTCTAATACACATATATTAATACTATATGCTGAAGTGCCAGTGAATACCCTCACGTGAGTATTTTCTTATGCAGACCCCAGTGTATATGTCATCTCTGGCTAGTGACATGTTTCCAGTGTTACATCCCAGTTCATGCCATGCTATGTATTAGTATATTTAAGGTGTTCTGGACTGTAATTTTTAGCATGATCCCCTTCCAAATACAGAAACTTCTCTAGACAGTCCCACCCATTTTGTGATATTCTGCCACACTGATGCAACTTACTGTATATCTTTCACAACACCACCACAGAAGAAAGATTTATTATCTATAATGTGATGATGCTGGCTTGGTGCCTGCCTTTACCACCCACTGCAAATTAGTTATAATCAAGTGAAGCTGCTGCTGGTCTTATTCCCATTACCACTATTTTGACATTCTCAATAAAAGCTTCCTACTCTCCATCCACCAGGCCTTTTCCTCTTCTTGTTCAAATTCCTATTCTGAAAGATCTAAAGTTCCTGAGGAAGCTCTATCTGCTTTCCAGAGCAGTCATCAAAACTTACCCCTATTCTGCTCTGTCTGGGAAGGAAGATGAAGTAGGGAACGGACCAGGAATAAAGCGACGCATCACATTACCTAGAATCTGAGATAAATGCAATTTACTCAGAATGCACGGCTGCTTCTCCTTCTGACACATTCTTTCCTTCTTGTTACTTAGGACTGCCAGTGGTAACTAGTGATCATTTATTTATCCAGGTTATGTTGAAGGGTAATAACACTGCAGCTCTCTGATTAGCCTGAATATAAGAAACACTTTACCTCTCAAAGATAGCACCATGAAAATATTCCTTAAACCTTTATTTGGTGCAAATCTGACATGATATGCTACCGAAAGGGAGGATAGACATTATAAATGCTGACAAATGTGAAGGAAGTGCATAGCATCTAAGAGTTTTTATATCACCCATTTTTAAAATCACCAAAATGCTAAAATGGTGGATGAACAAATACTTAAATCTTAGCTGTTTTAGAACAGCAACTCTAGTTACTCATAATTTAATCACTATCTTTTGCTTTCTCTTCTCTATACCTCTCACATCCAAAATCTAGCTTGAGGAAAACAATGAAGCTTGGTGCTCTATGAAACCTTAGTTCTCTGACTAAGCTGTCATTGTTACTGGAAAGGGTGTGGAGCCAAAGGCCCAGTAGGGAGTGGGTTGGACCTGGTGTGGGGAAGATCAGTGCCGTCACTTGCCTGGGTGGAGTGTCTACTTTGCTGGGGCTGATTCTTGTTCCGAGGTTCCCCCAGGCATTGGCAGGAGAGAAACAGGAAGGGAAGGGCTAAAATAAGCAAGGTGTTGGTTGGTTGGCTGGCACTGCCAAGCCTACAGTGTCTTGATAATCAACTTCTCAGGGAGCCCAGAGTAGGAAAGAACATTGTTATCCTTCTCCAGGTGGCCTGCTAATAGCCAAACATGGGTGTTTTGCCTGGTGTAATGTACCCTATGGAGTGTGGCTACCCCAAGGGTACCTTCTAACTGGTAAGTTAAGATGTGTGTAATACCAGGGACATATAGGCCCAAGAAGGAAACATACCAGCTATGGATGAAATTCATGTATATTATACAAATGTCACGTCATTCAATTCAATAAATATGAGTGTCCGCCATGTGCCAGGAATCATTCATTAGTGAATAAAAGAGAAAAAAAACCTTTGCTCTTTTGGAGCTTATGGTCTAGTGTATAGAGAGAAAAACGAGTAACAATACTGTTAGAAGGCAGTGTTACAGAAACTAACATAGTTTAAGGGGATTTAAGAGTGCTGGGGGTTGTGGTGGTTATACTTTAAATAGGAAAATCATTATGGCCTCATAAAGTGAAAATTATTGTGGTCTCATTTTGTGGTGTGTGTGTTATGTTTTTCGAGATTGCAAAAAAAATCAAAATGCCTGAAGTATCCAGTTAGGGAACGTATAGGGAAATGGGCATCCCTATTGGTGAGCAGGTTTGTCGGTATAGCATTTATAGAGGGATAATTTGTAGTATGTTTAAATATTTTGTAATATCTACGAAAACTAAATATGTATATTTTCTTTGACCCAAACATTCTACTTCTAGTAGTGATCCCTAAAGAAACAAAGCATGAATTTGCGACCTGGTAGACTACAGCACACCAGGCTTCCCTAATCTATCACCAACTCCTGGAGGTTGCTCAGACTCATGTCCATCGAGTCAGTGATGCCATCCCACCATCTCATCCTCTGTCATCCCCTTCTTCTCCCGCCTTCAATCTTNTGCATATAAGTTAAAGAAGCAGGTTGACAACATACAGCCTTGACATACTCCTTTCCCGATTTGGAACCCGTCTGTTGTTCCATGTCCAATTCTAAACTGTTGCTTCTTGACCTGCGTACACATTTCTCAGGAGGCAGATAAGGTGGTCTAGTATGCCCATCTCTTTCAGAATTTTCCACAGTTTGCTGTGATCCACACAGTCCAAGGCTTTGGCATAGTCAAATAAAGCAGAAGTAGATATTTTTCTGGAACTCTCTAGGTTTTTCAATGATCCAGTGGATTTTGGCAATTTGATCTCTGGTTCTTCTCCCTTTTCTAAATCCAGCTTGAACATCTGGAAGTTCACGGTTCACGTATTGTTGAAGCCTGACTTGGAGAAATTTGAGCATTACTTTGCTAGCGTGTGAGATGAGTGCAATTGTGCAGTAGTTTGAGCAGTCTTTGGCACTGCCTTTCTTTGGGATTGGAATGAAAGCTGAGCTTTCCAGTCCTATGGCCACTGCTGAGTTTTCCAAATTTGCTGGCATACTGAGTGCAGCACTTTCACAGCATCATCTTTTAGGACTTGAAATAGCTCAGCTGGAATTTCATCACCTCCACTAGCTTTGTTCTAGTGATTCTTCCTAAGGCCCACTTGATTTCAAATTACAGGATGTCTGGCTCTAGGTGAGTGATCACACCATCATGATTATCTGGGTCATGAAGACCTTTTTTGTATAGTTCTTCTGTGTATTCTTGACACCTCTTCTTAATATCTTCTGCTTCTGTTAGGTCCATACCATTTCTGTCCTTTACTGTGCCCAACTTTGCATGAAATGTTCCCTTTGTATCTCTAATTTTCTTAAAGAGATCTCTAGACCTTCCCATTCTATTGTTTTCCTCTATTTCTTTGCATAAAAGAGTAAGAATGTTCATTAGGACACTGCATTCAGGCATATGTCATAGGTAAAATAAATTATAGAAAAATCATACAATGGAGTACTCTGACGAATTTTAAAATGATATAGACTGTCAAGGCATATTTTTTAGACAAAACATTAAATTGCAAAAGTTAAAATTCCTACACTAACAGAACACAAACTTTTAATGCTGAGAGAATATAGTGTCAATCAATTTTTGAAGTTTTTGGTCTGGATAATTAGAAAATAATCTGTTGCTTCCTTCTCCCCCAGTTTCTTTACTTTGTAATTTCCTCCACAAATAATGATTTTGATGGATAATGCATTTCAAATCATGATAAAAGAAGCAAATCTTTTGTAGCCATTTGAGCTAGATGTCTAAAATTAATGCAGAAGAACTCAAAGGGAAACCAAATTTTTGTCATGAAAAATTTAACTAAGTTGTTTTACTAAGTTGAGTGAAAATTGAAAGGCACTTAGGTCTAGGCAGGATTAGTTAAGTCAATCATATACATATTGATAGCATAAATTAGTGATAGAACTTAGACAAGTTAAAAATCTTTAGGGTGATTTAGTCTGAGGGCCAACCTAGATTTACTATGACAACCAAACTAAATTATGGTAGTAGGACTGGCCAAGAGCACTAGAGTGTCCTTCTGAAACTTACAAATGTATATTAGTGGTCCTCAAATTTTATCCTTGCATAACCCCCAAAGAGATTTTGAAAAACTAGGCAGAAAAATTAGGTACTCTTTTACACATTTCCAGATAGACATATAAACTGTTATCATAAGTTTAAACTTATGATAAGTTGCAAAGGACAAAATTTTCAGCATATTTACCCCTATGTCCAGGGCAGCATTATTCACAATAGCCAAGACATGGAAACAATCTAAATGGCCATCAACAGATGAATGGAGAAAGAAGTTGTGCTATGTATATACAACAGACTACTACTCAGTCATAAAAAAGAATAAAATAATGTCATCTGCAGCAACATGAACACAACTAGAAATGATCATACTAAGTGAAGTCAGAAAAAGAAAGACAAGTATCATATGATATCACTTATATGCGGAATTTAAAATATGACACAAATGAACTTATTTATGAAACGAACACACACACAGAGAACATACTTGTGCTTGCCAAGGGGGCAGTGGGATGGGGGA